ATAGCTCCCTAAACTGATACTCTTGTGGGATTGCCATATTTAAGGGTACCAAATTAAGGAGCTATTTAGTAGGGTGCCCCTTAGGATTAGGGAGCTATCTAGTAAGAAGCTAAATAGCAGTTATTGTTTTTTTCAGACAACTTCACTAATACTTAATAAAAAATACTTAGTATTAGTTTATAAGGAAGGTTAAAGACCTTGCCTACTCCCTCACCTTAATAATCGTGAGGAGGGAGAGGGAAGGGCAATAAACAACATACCTGTAAAAAAAAACTTAACATTAGGTATTTTCTACAACTTTTTTCAGCAACAAAAAAAAAAAGGCCAAATAAAAATCCATAATGTTGCGTCAGACTATTAAAATACGACGAAAATAAACAAAAAACAGATGTAAAATTATTTCATCTTCATCCGGCGAGGGCTCTGCGCAGACTGAGCTTGCAGGGCAGGGAAAGCCTTATAAAGCTTCCCCCCACCATGCCATTTTACTCAGAGTGCTCTGATTGGTTGGTAAAGCAAACCAATCAAGAGTGCGCTGACAGGTAAGTCTCAAGTTTTACCTCTCAGAGCACTTGGATTGATTTGCTTAAGGGTGAGAGGGGCATGGGTGGGGGATTTTATAAGAGGCAAAGCTCCCCATTGCTTCTATTTTTAAATATTACAAGGAGAGAGCCGTGAGCCAGTAGCTCCTGTCTTGTAACAAACAAAATTTCATCCAACAAGCAATTTGTTCTTAGTTTCATTTATTGTAATTTGCCGTTGTTAATTTGTCTTTTGAAGGAATGCATGAATAGCTGAAATTCAGACAAAAAACTATTTAGTCCAAAAACGAATGCCCAAGTCTACTGAGGTCACATATGAACCTTTAAATTATCAAAAATGGCTTACAAATGCTCCTAGATTATTTGGATTTGAATGAAACTAGTAGTTTCTGAATTTAGAAAAGACAGAGGCAATTGACAGATGACATAGCATCTAGTAGAATACATGGTGGATGATCTTTTCATGAAATCCAGATCACAACAAAACACGATCACCCTTGAATCAATTCTGAGTTAATACTTCAGAAAAGAGTTTCAGTTTTGTTGGGATATCTCTGATCCTCCTAAAACAGGCAACACTCACCTGTTTGTCTCCAACTTCATTTAGTTAATAGAATTGAAGTTGAAATACTGAATAAATACAGGTTAGAGGGGTACTGTTTAATTTAGGTCATTTTTATTATGGACAATGGTTTAGCAGCCTAGATACTGGAAGCGGCAATGCCTTTCTGCAAGCATATCCTATCTTTCTTTTTCCCTGAACATGCGTCTCCAAAACTCCACCACAACATCTTGATCCATTGGTATGATAAACCGGTGAATGCTATGTCACGATATTAAGGTCACCTTGCTGCAGACTGGTAAACCATGTATGGTAGTTTTAATGTCCTGGGCACCACAGACTAATGAGAGTCCACAAACCCACAAAAAAAAAAAAACCCCAAACAAACCAAAAACAACAAGATCGTATTTAACAGCATAGCCGGTAGTCCAGGTGTAGGCCGCCGCTGAGTTTGAAAACCTCCTAGGTTAAGTTATATTATTATTGCTATTTATTTAGCGCCAACAGACTGCTTAGCACTTTATAGTTAAATCCCCCCTCTTATAATATTGTAAATAGGACAATTACAAGAAAAATTACAGGAACGATAGATTGAAGAGGACCCTGCTCAAACAGGCTTACAGTCTATAGGAGGTGGGGTGTAAAACACAATAGAACAGGAAACAGCAATCAGATAAGGTTGGAGTGAAGCAGAGCTTGAGGAGAGAGTAGAGAGCAAGAGACGGACATGCGAAGTAGAGGTTACTTTGGGAAGCTTTCCTAAAGAGATGGGTTTTAAGGCACTTAACAAGTGAAGAATAGGGGTGAGTTTGATGGCTGAAGGCAGGCCATTCCATAGGAAGGGAGCTGCCCGCGAGAAATCCTGCAAGCGTGAGTTCGCCGTACGGGTGTGAGCAGCGGACAGGAGAAGGTCATGGGCAGAGCGGAGAGACCAAAAAGGGGCATACCTATGGATCTGTGAAGAGATCTAAACAAGGCTAGAATTGTTCAATGCTTTATAGGTATGGGTTAGCATTTTGAATTGACTCCTATAGGATACAAGAAGCCAATGTAAGGACTGACAGAGGGGTGAGGTGTGAGTACCGACTAAAGAGGAAAATCAGTCTAGGGGCAGCATTCATTACAGACTGTAGCGCGGCAATACGTTTTTTGGGAAGACGAATTAGGAGGATGTTACAAAAATCCATGCGGGAAATTACTAGAGCATGGACTAACTCCTCAGTAGCATCTTGAGTAAGAAAGGCGCGGATGTGGGCTATGTTTTTTAGATGAAATCTACAAGGGTGATACTAGATAAGTGTTTTAAAGCATCTGCCCGACATGTCCAAGGTTAACATTGGCATGTGACCGTATGCAAAAAAAACCCAAACAAATATGGACAAAGCTACACTTAGTATGGCACACGAGGAGGCTACATTGACAGTTTCTGCTGGTTTATCTAAACGTAAATAAAAAAAATAATCAATAAAAAAAAATACACCACAGCAAAGTAAATGTGCTATCAAGGTGATGTTTTAGCAGGATTTCTAGTAAAAACCTGTCTATGGGTGATCAGCTAGACCGTTTCATTTATTCAGTACCAAAGTAAAATGTTTATGCCGTATGGTATATATCCGTCAACAAGTTTATAGTGTGTTATTAGTAATAGCATGTTTATGTCATGTTCATTATATCTTTGATGGCTCACATGTTCTAAATCTGAATATGATTTCAATGATCACAGTTCAGGTGTTGCAGAAGAGAAGGTGGCATCCGCTGACTCACACTGTGAGATAAGTGTAAGAGCCGGCAGCATGACATGAAGCACTGTAATTCAAGAAGCTGTCAGCGCCAAGATAAGTTTGAATAAAAAACTCTGACATGAGCCAGTTGCTGCACAGATAGTGCATGGTTACAGACATGATCTCCCCTGGGTTTTACTGAGCTGACTGGAAAAACAGATAAAGGAAACTTGAGGTATTGGAGAGGTGACTCACGGAAAACATCAATTGACATAAGAATTTGGAGACCAACAAAAAGTGCTCTTGAATACCGAAGATGTTTTCAAAGCAGCCAGACACAGACATCCTGATGCCAAGCAGCACTATTGTATATGTCCTCTGCAGTAGGAAAGAAAGTGTGTGATTAAAATAGAAAGACTACAATACTACAGCCAACAGGGGTAAAAAATTCAACTGACCAATGATTTAGGGGGGGGCAATAAGTTCCTAGGCTGATTTGGCTTCTGACACTTCAATACCATCCAAGATGTCCTTCAATCATGTTAAATTCAGTTAAACGCTAACATACAACAGAAGTAGTCCTAATACAGTTCTAGATGTGCAGAATGTACTTAAGGCATGCCAGGAAGTTTTTCTCCTGCTATTGTGACTCCTGTGATTCTAAGGCTCCAGCTGGAGAGTTATCCCTTTCAGGAATTGGTCAAAAGGCAGAATTTACAGTGCTCAGCCTGCAGGGACAGGCCCTAGACATCAGAACCACTACATTAAGCTGTAGTGGTTCTGGTGACTACAGTGCCCCTTTAAGCTATGCTAAAGAACATATGAGCAATTTGCATTAAGAGGCCAATTAGTTCTTATCTGTCCTCACAATCTGTATATATGTTTGTCTCTGTAGACATGCATTCCATTTCCAAACCCATGGTTTAAAAAAAATTAAAAAATTTAAGTCCAATTATTTCAGGTTCTGTACCCACCCGAACTTAAGGGCTTATGAAACACTTAAACATGTTTAAAAATAGGGAAAGGGAAGTTTTAGTCATTAACAAATGAAGTTGAACTATAGATAAAAGTGTATGAAAAAATTAGACATCATCAAGTTATAGGAAACAAATAGATATTCAACATTAAACAATACTATTATTAGCATTTACATAGCTCTAATATATTCCTCAGTGCTTTACATTTCTAGAATAGGGATATTGAAGTGCTCCAGCGTCCCCTGCTAGAAGTGAGGTAGCGGATGACTCCATTACAGTATATGAGAATACAGATGAATAAGAAACACAGACTATGATATATGCGTTTTAACCTCTATAAAAAACACAACAAAAAACAAACAAACCTAAAAACAAGCATATGTGGTAAAAAGTCACATTTTTGGTATTCTGGTTACAAATATTCAGTATACAGGTTTTATCATAATAAGAACACCTGTAGAAGAAAGATATTCTAGGCAGCTACTTCAGGCCATAACATAAGAATGCCGTAAGAGGACAGTTGGATGGGTCTGTCAATCCCATGGAGGCCAAGGGGCACGAGTTGGAGTCAGGCTACTGAGGATTTACAAGACACCTAATTTGTTACACAGGATGAAGGCAGTAACTAATGGAGTTTGTACATGTCTGAGACATTGATAGGGGTCTGACGGGACTATCTATCAGCTTGTACCAGCACCTGTTTGCCCCAGTAGTGTGCAGTAGCCCATCACAAATCAGCACCAATCCTCCTCCCTAGTACATACATGTGTACTATTGTCTTTATATGAACCAAAAGAAGCACTAAAGGCCAAACGCACTAAGAGCCCCCACAAAAAAATCAAAACAAAACGGAGCTCACAATCTTAATTTTACAGTATCCAATTCAATACTATTTGACAAGCACTGTGCTTGAAAAGGGCCCTTTCTACCGTTACAACAGTATTTTAACCTCTTAAGATACACTTACTAAACAGCGTTCTAATGCAATTTAACCATGAATCTTGCAAATATAATAGATTTTGACTAGTAGCATGTACAGAATGTTTCCAGCTTAGCTATTTAGGCATACAATACATACATATACATACATTCACATATATACATATACATACATACACACACATAAACATCCAAATTGCAAATAGACAGCTGCACTCTCGGTCTTTCAATAATAATGAACATTTATTCCATAGTAGTTAAAAACTGGATCAACGTTTCAGTCCCGCATAAGGACTTTTTTCAGGATCATAGATCTATGTGGGACTGAAACGTTGATCCAGTTTTTTACTACTATGGAATAAAAGTTAATTATTGAAAGACCAAGAAAATTTTGTTTATTTTTTTTTTAAATTTCAGCAAATTACCCGTTTTTGGACGAAACAGGATAAGTCAATTTTCAGCCGAAAATTTCTGTGCATCCCTAATATATGTACACAAATACATACTTTGCGCCCTACCTTTCTAAATGACAGCAACAAGAAAAATATAACAGAAACAGTCTGCTGTGTCTTCCTAAAAAACAAAGCATTACATATTTCAAGATAATTTGTACTAAATTTATAAATAGTCTAACTTCACCTGCAAAAAGGCACAATATAAGCAATAAAACTGAAAGGCTCCTATGCAAATGTATCAACACATATCCACTACAGTGTCTGTATAATTGCACTTACCGTACTGTCTCCTCTACTGGACTGGACAGGACTGTAAGCTATAAATTACAAAGTGCAACTATTGGGGCTAAATACATAAACAATATATGACTACTGCACTTCCTGTGCCTCTTTCTCTACTGTAAAATAACCTAAAAAGTGCCAGGTACCACTGGTACCATAGCACTTTGCTATTTCCAGATTTTCTAGGTTCCTATGTTTCACAGTCTATTTAATCTAGATTGTATTATCTCCTGCTCTGCATAGCTTGCTAGACCCTGCAGGACCCTCCTGCGTGTCATTAAAGTTCCATTTACAGAGCAGGGGATAAAAACATCTAAAGCATGTTAACATCTGATTGAAAACAAAGCCTTTTTTTCATGCAGACTGTGTCAGTAACAGTCAGGGCAGGTGTGGCAAGGGCTGCATAAACAGAAATAAAAGTGATTTAACTCCTAAATGGCAGAGAATGAGCAATAAGACGGCAGCTGCATGATATATACACCAAAACTGCCCTTTTAAACTAAGTTGTTTTGATGCCTACAGTGTCCCTTTAATGCACTTACTGTACCTCCATTACTGTAATGTGAGCTTTAAAATGCCACATACAATGGTTAGGATATTTTCTTTATAAAGTGTCACAATGGTTCTGCAGCAGTGCATAATTTTACAATAAATGCAAAATAGCAAATTAGTATGAAAAGAAATTGATGAAAAGGTAGATTATTCCAAAAACACAATGCATTGATCTCCGTATGCTGTACTGTAACAAGTGCTAAATACATCTGCTAGTTCTTTATAAATTATACATTTTTTAACTACTGTAATAGAATCTTTAAAGTCCACATCTTCAAGCTACAGAACATATGCTAGTGCAATATAAATAAAATATACAAATAAATAACACATTGGTTTCCAAGACATCTGCAAGAAAGGCAAGATGTGGGCATCCATTGAGAACATGTTCATACAGAGGAGATGCCATATTGGGAGTTCACTTGTCCTGCACAGAGAACCTATAGCACTGACAATCCCTAATTTTATTAAAGACACGGAGGCTCATATTATGCATAACTCTTTCTTTATTTCCTCAGCAGCAAAGATAGAGGAATATAAATATATCAAAAATGAAAGAAAAAACGGTATAGATACACAGGCAACCAATCACATAACAGAGGAAGTGACTATATAAAGCCTGTGTCTCCCACAATCCCCCTCTTTCTTTGCTGCTTCCTTAGACAGCTAAGTACCTTGCTTGATCCATTGTATTTTATTTGGTGTACTTTGCATTTACTTGGTGTTATGCTGTACTGATGTTGTACTTTTATTATGGTTATGTGATATTTTTGCACTGTGCTTATTCTCACTTCTTTTGAGTGTGTGATATCCTACTCTGTTTTTCTTCTGTCAGCTGCCTGCTTGGTGCAGCTCCTATCCTGTCCCCTGCGCTGGTGCCTTCCTCCCCTCACCCCGCCCGCCGCGACCGCTCTGTCGGCCGGCGGGTGCTATTCAGTCCCAGTTCGGCTTTCAGCCGCGGCTCTCTCTGATACTGCCGCGGCTGTGCTCTGTTTCCCTTGATCGCGGGCTGCCCGCGCGGGTAGGGTGCGCGCGCCCCTTCCCCCGCCGGGGTCCTGACCGCGATCAATCTCCTGCACGTGCGGCGGCCATTTTGGGCGGTCCGTCGGCTGATCGGTCGCTCACTCTGCTGCTGCCGTGCGGCCTGTCTCCCCGGTATGGGTCCCCTGAGTGCACCAGCGGGCAGGTTTCTTACTGTGTTCCTCTGTGGGTTACTCGACCCTTTTACCATCTAGTTTAGTTTATTCTAGCTACCTTCCGTTTTTGCTTATCTATATATTTCGATTTCTTAAAGTCATATTACTACAGTTTTAACTTGATTCACTTAAAGGTGTATTCCCCTGTGGTTTTTCGCAGGATAAGGAGCATGGGCCTGTTGGCACCCCTAGTGATTTTAATATTGATAACCCTGAGGGTGCCATGGCCTCCCAAGAATTTCAGGCCCTGTTGGATGCCACTATGGCTTCTTCATTACAAAAGGCTTTTGCTTCAGCCATGGGTGCTGTTTCTTCCTCCTTTTCTCAGTCCCTGCATTCCATGCTTATGCCCTCTCTGCCTACCCCTACCCTCCAGGGTACTGGGTCCCCTTCCTCCGCCCAGACTGTGCCTGGTACCCGTAAGGTGAAGGCAAAGTCTAAGCACGTTGATTCCCACTCCTCGATGCAGGTGCTACCTGCCATGACTGACACACTGGATGTGGTCACAGACAGCGTGCACCCCACGCGCAAAAGAGCCCCTGGCCGGGCTAAAAAGGCTAGATTGTGGAAAAGGGCTAGAGCCCTAGATGATGAGTCGGATACCGACTGGAGTGTGGAACGTGACTCTGATATTATGGAGTATGACTCCTACGATGAGGGCGGGTCGGACGAGGAATTGCCCTCCGCGGAGCTTGCCCCCTCTGGGTCCTCTGCCGTTGCCCTAGGCCAAGTTAAGATCCCCCCTGGGGACAGTAAGGCCATTTTAGACCCCCAGGGAAACCCACTGTTCGACCCTGACGACCTGCGTCACCCACGGTCAGCAGAGTGGGTCCCCCCGGACCATATTGCGCAATATGTGGCTAAACGCCTGCGCACACCCCTCTCCAAGGAGGGTCGCAACAAGTTGCGTGCCGAATGCCCTAGGCCCTCTCTCCCGGGCTCGGCCTGTAAGACTCCGGATATTGACCCCCAAATCGCCCAGTTTCTGAATAAATCAGGCTGGAAGCCCAAGAAGGGTTTGGATTACTCCCTCAAGGGATGCCAAGATAAGATATTGGATACCCTGGGCCCTCTGTCTAAGCTGTACGAGCTGCTAGATGCCGCTAGGGCTGGAGACTCGGTTATGGATGTCGATGTGGCCATTGGATGGGTCCAGAGGGCGATCTGCCTCTTGGGGAATGCAAATACCGCCATGTCTTCTGAGAGGCGTAAGGCGATTCTCCTTAAAATCGATCCCAAATTGGCTGCCATGACGGCGGAACCTGACCCCTCTGACGAGGGTTTACTGTTTGGAACCTCTTTCGTGAAGGACCTTGGTTCCTATGTAAAGACCTTTACGGCCATTGACAAGGCCCAGGCGAATATGAAGCGCATGTTTGCGCCCAAGGTTTTCGGAGGGGCCGGGCGTAGCAGGAACCGTCCACCCGGCCGGGGCTTCCGTGGCTCGTTCAGGGCCTCCAGAGGTTCCTTCTTTCCTTCCCGAGGATTTCAAGATACGTGGTCGCCTCCTTTCTTCCCAGCCAGAGGGAGATCCTGGGGCTCCAGGTATCCCCGTGGTGCCGCTTCGGGCAGACGCCCTTATGGTGAGTACCCATTTTTCCCCTCTCGATCATGTACGGGTGGCAGGGAGGCTTGCCTTATTCTACCATGGGTGGACAAATATAACCTCAGATGCTTGGGTTCTGCAATGTGTAAAGGGTTATCACCTGGAGTTCGTTTCTATGCCTGTCCAGGTTTGCGTCCCCAGAGAGTTGTCCCTCCCACAGGATCAGGACGACATGATTTCCAAGGAGGTAGAGGAGATGCTCACGAAAGGTGCCATAGAAGAGATGCTGTTGGCCTCTCCGGGCTTCACGAGCAATCTTTTTCTGGTGCCAAAGAAAGGGGACGGGGTTTGTCCCGTGATAAATCTTCGTCCCCTCAACGCATTTCTGCGCTACCAACATTTCCAGATGGAGGGTATACACTGCCTCAGAGACCTCCTTCGGCAATCAGATTGGTTGGCCAAGTTGGATCTGAAGGACGCATACTTTACAGTCCCCATCGCGCTGGACTGCAGGGATTACCTCCACTTCACGTGGCACGGTCGACGCTGGCGCTTCACGTGCCTGCCGTTCGGTCTCTCGTCGGCCCCTTGGTGTTTCACCAAACTCATGAAGCCAGTAATGGCTTATCTTGGTACCCGTGGGGTGCGACTGATCGTTTACCTGGACGACATATTGATCATGTCCCAATCCAGGGAATCTCTGCTGTTACATTTGGGTTGGACAACCAACCTTCTCCAAAATTTGGGTTTTCTGATCAACTGGGACAAGTCGGTCATGATCCCTACCCAGTTATATAGAATTCTTGGGTTTCCAAGTGGACTCCATCAGGCAATTCCTGTACTTGCCGGAGTCCAAGATGAAGGCCATTCAGAAGGAGCTCCGAAGGGCTCTTCGGGTGCCGGATATGTCCGTCAGGCAACTGGCAAGGATTATCGGCCTTCTGGCGGCTTCGATTCAGGCGATCTTTCCGGGCCCGCTACACTATCGTGCCCTCCAACGACTCAAGGGTTCACACCTGCGTTCGGGCCACTCCTACGAGTCCCGAATACGGCTGGACGACGAGTCCAGAGACGAGTTGGTATGGTGGTTGGCACACATGGAGGCCTGGAACGGACGGGCCATCTTCGGCTCGATCCCGGATGTCGTGATAGAATCCGATGCCAGCTTACACGGCTGGGGTGCTCGTTGTGGAGACGTTTCCACCGGAGGCAGATGGTCCGACATAGAGAGGTCCCTACACATCAATTGTCTGGAACTGCTGGCGGGGGCCTTCGCGATACGCAGTCTGACCCCAGGCCGGGCAGACTGTTGCGT